AAATAACGTATTGATTGAATCATTCAGCTATGGAATGGAATGTCAAGAACTTTTTCAGCATCTATCAGATTCTTCTTTTGAAAATAAGGAGAGCAGGATATTTCTGGCCACCAAATAGTTTAAATGTTTAAAGTTTCAATATTATGAATGAAACATCACCTTACAGTCCACCACTACTATGCTCACTAGATGTTGACCTTATTGACATTGGCCACMCAKMAACATGGTAAGCTAAATTACATCTGCTTTTTTTTGTATGTTTACTCTCTTTCAATGTTATATAACACTGATAATCTTCTGTACCTCCCTGCCATTTCTATATTTATACTTTCTTTTCAAGTTACAAAACACTTGTTGCAAACCAGAACTTGAAAAATGAGCTCCTTTTGTTCATACACCTCACTGTTGTTTCCTTTTTATTTATTCTTATTTTTCTTTTTTCTCACACTTTATTTTTCTCATTTTAACCGTTCCATTTTTCTATTCACTATTTATCCTAGTTTTCTCTGTTATCTTGTAACATGAGATGGTATGATAAGAATGCACATGTGATGATTTCTTTCAAGAGCTTTTATCATTAGTTTTTTTTTTATGTCTTGGACTATTTTCTGTTTATTTTGGAATTATTACTTTAAGAAATTTCCATTTTATTCATCATCTTCAATATGCATAGCACTCCCTCTAATGGAACTTTTATTCAGTCAAGTTTTGTTCTGTTATTTTTTTTTATTATTTTTTTCTCATTTCTCAAATAAGGTCAGAACATCGTTATTAAAGATTCATATTATCAAAACCACCGGATCAATGCAGCTTCCATCATGCTCTGAGCGAACTACTTGTAAGGTATCATATTGCTGGTCAAAGATGACCCTTAAAATAATTGATACGAATACGATGATTAAAAAACTACTAACGTACAGGAAGCGTTCAAACAATTTGTCTATCACAGCTTTTTACTGCTATTGTTGATTTATTAAATCAACCGACCATGAAATTAAATCAAACATGTGCTAGCAACCGTCAAACGTTATAAACAGTGATCATCTCTAAAATCATTATTCATAAACTGATAAATTACTTACCAGATACCACTGGTCAGCAAAAAGTGGATCATTTAACTTCAACTTGCTCCCTCTTTTTACTCTTCTTTTAATAACTTGTTGCTCTGCCCATTTCACCTAAAAGAATGGACATTTGTAAGTTATCCTTCGATCGGTCATGAGGATCATGAGATTATTGCGAGAAATGTGAGCAATGTCCGTGAAGTGGATTACCGTCGTCTCTTCGAACAGAAGCTTTGTTTCGTCTTCTAAACTTCTTCGTGATCGTGTTGGATGGGTTTTGTGTCGAAAATGGAATATTCCTCGTAAGCTACCAACCTGGAAATTGATGTTTCCACAAATTAAATAATAAACTATAAACTTTGTGATATCTTTCATGAAAAATCTATCTTACCTTGCCCAAATTTATATAACCATACTTTTCAGCAATTCTATTAGCCTCTTCTTCTCCACCATCGACCTCAATGGCCCATGTATTTGAATACAAGTTCTTCTGATTTGATGTTGTGAAATTCACAAGAAGACATGTAATTAACAAGACAGCCACAGCTACTTGCTGCATATTGAGTAAATCACTTCACCAATAATTATGTAAATTCCATATTACTCCAACTCTAAACTCATATTATCCTAGTAAAGAAAATGTATTTATATTCTTGATAGACTTCGTCGGTGTTGCTGATCCCTTGTCCAGTGGAAACGGCACACGATCCAAAACGATTAGACGTAGGTACGAGTGACGTCACTAAATACTTCCTCAACAACTTAAACAAGGTTTGAAAAGCTCCACCAAGCATTTATAGAGATCCAAAATTAATCTGTTAAATCGAAACCCGCCATTGACTCATAACTGGTAAGGTTTAAGCAATTTTTCAGTGATTTATGCAAGATTTACAGCTGAGTTGGATCAGCTGTTTTTAGTTCGTAGGCAATTTTACAGTTCATTCGCCGACAGGAAATAATAGTTGGTCAGTCCCGTCATATTATGATTTACAATTACTTTCGATGAAGAACAATGTTTCGGTGATTTACCTTGTGATCAAATTAGTTTAAAAATAGATAGAAATATTTCTCAAAGGAAAAATATTCAACGACTGCATGATGTGCGCTGAAACTGAAGCCTTATCACGTTTCCGTGAGCCTTTTAGATCATATTTCACAGATTTCATCCGTCTGTCGATACTTCTAAAACGACTCTAAGTGACCTAATAATGTTATCAATTTTGAACTAGACAACCTTGTAGTATTTTCGTTATAGTATTTGTTTATGGCGGTTAATATTTGTATCTCATTTTGATCTATAATTATTTCGCTATCAATATTTTTTACATATCAAAATTTACTGCAAAAACTTCCTTGTTTTTTTGAGGTGAATCTTTGCTCATTTTGTAAATATGGGAATCATTATTTTTAGATGACAAATATTATCATTTTTTTCTTCATTTACCACTGACATAAATGTGTTTTCAGTGTCCATAACTCGCCATTGCTCGGATCATCGTTATCAGCATCAGTCACGATTGAGCAATCAACAAAAAATAATCAACAAGTATTGGTTTCAATGGCAGAAACATATTGGAAAGACAATATTTGTGCTCTTAAAACTCCCACAGTAAAAAGTGACAAGAAATTGACGGCTAGTCCAACATATACTGTTCCATGTTTTTCACAAGCTTTAGTTCCCCAGGAAACATAACGCCTGCTTGCGTCGGTGACCTACCGTCCCCCATACTAGTATTCCCTAGCCTCCATGCACGATATATCTTTTGACAACTTATCATCTTGAAATTATGCTCCGAGACATGTACAAATTGTACAAATTAATATAAGGAACTGTATATGTACTTAATATTTTGTGTATACAATTTTACGAAACGGGAGTCGTCACGGAAAATTTAAATATTCAGTTTTGAACTGCTACGCGTACGTTTTATATAAATGCCCATGTGCGCATCAGATTGTGGCCCTTATAGGTCAGGGCAGGGAGGACACAAAATACATTATTAAAAAAATTGATTATCTTCAAAATGTGGTTGGTATTTCTAATTGAGTGACAATAGTTCGTTGCCCTCACCATTATCAGGTCAACAATCAAAGATAAAGAGATTCTAGTTAAAAACCATTTTAATTGATACCACTTGCAAGGCTGTTTTCTTTGCAGTATTCTGGGTTATTCTGCGCGTATTGTATTACTGAAAAACGACATGATCAGTTAGTGAGGTCAGAAGCGAACAAGTCTTCTTTTACCGACAATTAACGCTTCCAATACTTGCGAAAGTGCTTTTTGTAGTTGCTGTTGTTGGAGTGTCGCAGCATGATAAAAGATTTTTTTGAGATAAGTATTAGCATATTAGTGAAATACCTCATACTTGTTGACTTCAACGAGTATTTAAGCATTTATTAGACTTTTTAGCAAATATTACTGAATATTAGTGAAATTAACATTCAAAAAGAAAAAAAAACGGAGAGTGTACGGAGAATCCAATGTTGCTGTACAAATATTTCGCGTTGTCRTGATAGGGTGTGGACGAGCACAAATATGCATTTAGTCTTTTTGCTCCAGATAACCTATACAGGACAGGCATGGGAACCTAAAAATATAAAGACAAATTAAGACAGCCTGGACTTTATCAGACAAAACTATGTACATGGTATGGWCAAGGCAGCATCAAAMAGCGGCRRRCATAGCAGTTTGAGTGAAAACTAGGCTGATTACCACCGGATGTGACAGAAATCTTGTATATTTGGSGCGAGGGRACAGTAATCATAAATCAGTCGGCGACATGGCAACTTTACCACGCACTTCTGAGCATTTTATAGAAAAGAAAAATAGAATTGAAACTCCTTTAGAGGATYAGAATTCCGATTCTTTTATTTTCATGCATTTTTCGATTTGTTTCTGATTYTATAATGTTGTACGTGGGYACGTGCGACTTTCCCGTGACCTGACAGTGACTTTAAYATCACAGCATGAAATTTCATGGTCACATCACATGATACTGCTGTAGTTCTAAGTAAGATATAAAGAAGCAGCTATGGAATACCGATAACAAAGTATCGTTATAGTACACCTTGAATTAACAGTGACCACACCCGTGGGTTGGGTTAGATGGTAACCAGACCAAAACCACCGCCCCTCCTGATATTGTTCAAAATGAGAGTGCAATAACTAAGGTCTTTGTAACTCGCAATACTAAGAGACGTGGGACYTAGTACTGAATCAGTATTTAACGATTGCGTACTGTTCTGAGCATCACTTCTCATTCATAAGGTGTTTTGAATTGGGTACAACCGTTGCACACTATTTTTGTAAGACTTTCTGTGGTCGTACAATACCACGTACGGAATACATATACCGATCCGGTACTACGTTGTGTATTAGATAACCTGTGGCACTATGTCGCGATCACGTACCTCGAGGCTTATACACCCTTTTAATAAGTCCCGAGGTATTGAATTCTCCGCACATGACGTCAAATTCATTCTTTTGAATTTTTTGCAATACAAAAGGAATTGAAAAGAATAAATTTGACGTCAAGTGCGGAGCACACAATACCTTGGGACTTATTAAAAGGGTGTATACGTACTCACTACAAATTTATAACACGCACAAAGCACGTGATCATGACGCAGTACCACAGGTAATCCACAAGTACAAATCGTGTGTGTTCTTAATTATGAACCAAGTAAATAAAGCGCAGATTTGAGATTTTTTCGTTGTCTCTTAGAGTTTTTTGTTGTTCTTCAATATATCTATGAATTGATAAAAAAGGACTGAAAATAACTGCATAAAATTAAGCTGTAAAGGGCTGGGGTTGCCTGTGTTACTAAGAAAATTTCTTCTAATGCTTAAAATTTAAGTATATTTAATATAAACCTGAAAAAGGGTGTAGCAAGTATCTCTTTCAATGTTGTTCCAGTTAAAGATGGTAAACATAATATTGAAACTTGATTTTATTAATATCGAACCAACCACAATTTATACAAATTGGAAGTTATATGAACTTCTGTACAAATACAATTCTAAATAAAAATTAGGCATTCTCTTGAATAAAACGAAATTACAATCAACTGCCAATAGTGTTTGGGTCAATAACTATAGAAATTTGTACAAAGAATAATGTCCTCATWGTGCTGTAGGAAGRTTGATCAACCTACAGAYGTTGGCAAATGGCTTGAGTGAACTGAGAACAGCTTGCCTTTCCACCAAGATCACCAGTTATCATCTAAAAATAAACAACATTTGTGTCATTAAAATATAAAGAGAACATTTTTCTTTCAATAGGACTGGGACAGTGTTTCCCCAAGTGTCATKTTTCTTGTATGACAAGTACTGTGYTGTWTTCATATTCAACCAATTCTCTTTYAACSCTTTCYATCCTTAGAAAACTCTTGCAGGAGATTTTAAATGGAGATGAGGATAAACGTGCATAAATGTTTTCTACATGCACTAAAATCCCTCAATTACKCCTCTGAAGCCCAAATAGGTGACCCCCTCTGAATATCCTCCTAGATAACAATTAACACACCATTCCTACTTACTGTGCCATCTTTAATAGTTTCAAGAACAGCATTTTCTATCTTTTCTGCATAAGAATTGAGTTTCATGTGCTTGAGCATCATGACTGCACTAAGAAGAAGGGCTGTAGGGTTGGCCTTGTCCTGGCCTGCGATATCAGGGGCAGTGCCATGCACCTGTAGAGGGTAACAACACAAAAAAACTTGATTTCAAATTCTTGCATCGAGTTTTCATTGACACTTGTGTTATTTATCACAGCTAGTCCTTGCTGTATTTCAAGAAACACATTTTATCGTGATAAAAAATGTTAAAATTTAATAGTTACTTACAGATTCAAAGATAGCAACATTATCATCTCCTATGTTGCCACTGGGTGTGACTCCCAAGCCGCCAACTAGACCAGCACACAAATCACTGAAAACAAACATAAATTTATATCATAGTTCATTATCACATGCTAAATATCACTGGTTATTACTAATTATTACTTATTACTGTCATGGAAAGGACACCATCCCTTTATTTTCTATTCTATTCACTGGAATAGTAACAATGCAACTGCTCATTTTATGAGATTCAAGACAAAAGACCAGTGACATATAAATGTTGGATAAATGAACAATAGATACTAATAAGAAATCCTTTGTTATAGTTCATCAAGATGACCAATGTAATGCATATTGCAAATGAAGGATTACCTTAGAATATCGCCATATAGATTAGGCATTACAAGAAGAATTACCTTAGAATATCGCCATATAGATTAGGCATTACAAGTACATCAAACTGACTTGGGTCTTTTACCATCTGATATAAAAGAAAAAGGTTAAAATATCCTTTTTAGTTTTCAAAAAGCTTTTATATTTTCACTTACATTTAAACATGTTGTATCCAGATACATCTCATTGTAACGAATATCTTTATTTTGCTCAGCAACCTCACGGCAACATTGTAGAAACAGGCCATCTGAACGCCGCCTATGATTGATCATTATTATTAATATAAATACTAATGACTTGTGCATTGAATATCTCATGATTCTTATCATACATTGATTCATGTCAACAGTAATAGCTGCAGCAATTTTCCTTACATGATATTAGCTTTATGTACTGCTGTTACTGAGTTCCTATTATTGGCCTTGGCAAAGCTGAAAGCAAATTCTGCTACTCTCATTGATGCCTTCCTTGTAATAAGCTTTATACTTTGAACTACTCCGTCAACTACCTAGAAAACACATCAAAATGAACAGATCAATAAGAGTGTTGATTTGAAAGTAATCAACACCAGTTTAAGGTTCTCCTATCTTAGTTAAAGCCACCATTCACAGCTGAGTTGCATGGTGACACAGAAGATTTAAACAATGTTATTGCCTTTTTTCCACACAAATTCTGCACATTTTCTCTAGCAGTATTTAGACAAGATTACATGGTTTTGAGTCTGACAAAGCTGAAACAAACATTAGCTATGTTGTTCTTTTATGTATTCTCTCTTTGATAATAGACTTCTGATTTTCAATCACTACTTTATTTTCAATGCATTGTGGGATGAGTTTCTAGTAAAAACAAGAAATTTGCCATGTTCTGTCCCAAACATATCCTATAATGCATTGCGTATACAGTACATAGTGTAAAAGCTTCAAAGGTCTATYGCAAAACAAGARTATCATAGTCCTTACAATGTGCTCTATGCCACTGTATTCTCCTTCAGTGTTTTCTCTGATTGTCACAAGATTTACATCATCATATACAGTAGGGTAGCCATCAATAGACCTGCAGGGTCTTACATTGGCATAAAGGTTGAATGTCCTGTGGATAAACAAGGTTTTTGGATTTAGTTTGTCATAACTAACAGTCAATATCAATGTATACTTACTTTCTCAACGTGAGGTTCAAAGAGACATGTCCTTTGCCAATTTTTGTCTCCAATGGCCCTTGAAAGGAATCATTATCAGTAGAATATTATCTAATATTTTTAATGAAAGTACACATTTTTAAATATACCTTTAAGWCCAACTTTATTTTTGTTCATKGAGTTTATTGCAGCTGGTGGGACTGTKGTCCTTCCATCRGGAAGAATRATTGGYGTTACGCTYACCTCCTCCCAGTTRACAGGTGCCTTTAYATTRAATAGATAAYAATATCAATACTAAAGATATACAACTTGATGTATGCTTTTTATATGTTATCAACAGCTTCATAATGATAATAAAATTCTATTCCTTGATAAAACAATTGTCAATCAATTTGTTTTTTGCTTTATAGGCGCCTTGCATGCAACCTCAAAGCAGCTTCATCTGGGGGGACAAAACAAAAGTTTTTTTGCTCTCTAGGAACTAAAATTCATAGGTTAGTTTCCCAGGTGGTGCTTCATTCCCTAAACTGGGTCTATACAAGGACATCATGTCATACAAGTTTTAAGTCTGCTGAAGAAATCCCTGACGAAATATTTAGCTAATTTCTAGATATGAYTATGTAATTGACACTATTTACAAACCTTTGCAGCAGCAAAAACCTGCTTCACAGACTCAGATATCTCAGGTCCAATACCATCGCCAGGAATCAGAGTGACAGTCCTGACCTAAGATACATTATTACAAGGTGTAAAAATGATGTAAAAACTTTAAGCCCCATGTTCATCCAAGATCCTTTGCAATTTCTTTTGTTTTACTGATGATCTCTTGTTGAAAGGTGATGTCTAATTGATTCAAACAGAGATAGGGAATTTTCTTATTTGAGAAATTCGCGCAAAGGTTGGATGTACGAGTGACTTTAAAAAACTGCAGTCGTTTCATATCACTAAAAGTAAAATCCGGTTGACAAAATACGCATAAATTATACTAATACAGATTACAATAAACTTAACTTGAAGATAATGGTATGTACCTCTGACGAAAGATATCTTCTTCCTTGTCCACTCAAGCCCGTTACCTGAAAAAGACAGAAAATCCCACGTTCAACGTTGACGACATACCTGGGTCAAATGTTACTTACACAGCTGATATTTGAACAAACAAAAAGCTTCAGAGAGCATCGTTGTGAGATAAGCAGACCTACTTTTAACCAAATATCTTACCAGATTCTTAAAGACATGCTGTGATCCTTTGCAAGAAGGAGAAAGAAGACCGACAGACCGTACAACACGCCTCACGTTGGCCGCCATCTTGATATGTCAGTGAGGAGACTGGGGGGTTGGATTTCTCTGGCCCAAGCTCCCTCGGAGTGACTACACAGGCTTTAAGCACACAATTCTTTCAGTGCGCACATTGTGTACTACGTTACGGCAACAAAAATTTGGATTTTGTTAAAAAATATGTCTTTTAACTCCCTGGTTTTGTTTGTTTTCTTTCAATAGTTCGATATTATGACTTTTAAAGTATATTTTAAAAGCTTTATGAATCATATTGATCTCGGAACGCCTACACAGGCTTTAGCACATAATATTTCAGTGCGCAAATTGTTGTAGTACGTTACGGAAACAAAAATTTGGTGTTCGTCAAAAAAAATGCCTTTTACCTCGTAGTTTTTGTTTGATTTCTTTCAATGGTTTGATATTATGATAAAGCTTGAGTGAATTATATTGATGTCGAATTGATTTACGTGAGGGAATTGATTTATCAAAATACCTATACGTTTATAAGGGCTCAAATCCTAGCAAAAATAACCAGTTTAAACATTAAAAGGAATTTAGTCTTTTTATTGCAAAAATTCATCCAATTACAATTGCAGAATCTAAAAGAATACACAAATCGTATGTTAAAAAAAAACAAGTCTTATAAGTCAGACTATCAACTTTTCATTGCCTTAGCAAATCCGAACTGGATTCTTTGTCGTTACAAAAAAGGTGATAGAAGGCTAATTTTATTAATATTTTTTTGATCGATATATCAATCTTATATTGTGGAAAATCAGTAATGTTTTCTTTCTGATGTTAGCGCGTCTCCATTGTACACCCCATCAAGCAGCGCTGAATGTTCCATATAAAAATTAATGTCCATGATATCAGTTTAGCATTTATATCTTCGTACTAGATATATTGTTATGTCATGTGTATATAATAATTCAAGGAATTATTCTTCATTTTTCCACAGGAATCTCGCTTTCAATGATCAACTAACCATGTAGCGTACGGTGTAAAATCAACCCAGACATCTTGATCAGTCAATTCATCTGATAACTTATAATGKTCATRTGCATTGTGTGGTATGCTAAACTGGAATCCTTCAGGACACATAACRTTAGAATAGGGTGCAATCTCAGTGCTAACAACCCATCGATTRCYGTCTTTACTTCTACAAGCAAACGCTTTAAATGATTCGCACGGCTCAACATACCATCGCTTGTCCTTTGCGCTAACAATAACACAGGTATCCWGAGAAAGGCGYACTCGGGGYTCTTTTTCAGCCCATGTGAATACCGCTGTGTTGATTAACTGTGGATTCACTTGGTCAGCGGCAGGATAAAYGACRCCACATTTCAAATAATCCATATARTTCATAACGGTCCCTGTTTTTGATGGTCCGTTCCAAAAGGGACCATATTTTGTACTATCACTGTACACACGTACGGGGCTCTTTACGTGCGTCATAGCTTCGCATCCACTRTAGGACTGGAAGTTCTTTGTTGTTATTTCAYGCCAATATCCTKTGTGAATAAACTTTCCTTGATGATTGTAYTCRTTTSCTACAGAAATCACCACAGTTTTGCCTAACTGATTCATTTGAAAAGGTGTCGGCCATTTCCCGCCAAAATGCTCCTTAAGATCACGTGGTGTTAAGACCATGTCACCAAAGTGCTCTCCTATTGGTCCATTGACTAAGTCGTCGTGACCACGAGTGTGGCTTTCTCCGTCTTCTAAATACAAGCGAATGATTTCATGGCTGTTTTCTGGACGTTTTTTCCACTCAGCAATTTCTTGAATACCGTCTTTAAATTCTCTGTCCCAAGGGCCACAYCCTAAGTAGGCGTARTCATGGGCGTGGCTCATCCTTATTTTCCCGAAACACCACCATGGGTCTATTTCTATGGCTCTTATTCCCATGTTGAGCTGATCAGTAAAGCTAAATTCTTGATTGGCAAGGTCAATGCAYTCWGTTTTGTATGGTGGRGGCCAGGGACAGTCATCAGCAATGCCATAGCCGTCAGCTCGATCGTTAAACGCATTATGCGCAGCCAACATTTGAACTTTGATGAACGATATATTCACTTGTARAGCTCGCTGAGTCTTGAGCGCAAATGATAACCAAGGAGAGAGATGCGATGCACCTTTGTGGCATATGCCATTAAATCCACAACTGGAACAGTTYGCTAATGTACTTAGTTTATCACAGGTTGCATTTTGATTTTCATCAAGTGAAGATCGCTTATCTTTTGCCACATCAGTTTGAACCACATACTTGCCATCTCGACGCTCTGCGATAATTACTTCAAACACTTTTTCTTTGAGTTTYGCTGTTCTCTTGTCATGTAAAAGAGYTCTAAGTTTGTATAATTTGTCGTGGTTCTGGATTGATARTAGTCCGCGCAGACTAAATCGACCATTTTTATAATGATTGACAGCAAATTCTGCAGCTTTGGAAATGATGTATACTTGTCTAGGAGAAGAAAGATAGTCTTTTAAAGGACTTTCCACATTATAATGTCGAAAGTAGTTAAAATATTGTCGTTCAGCTTCAGGTTCGACTGATATWATYGTTGTGGAGTTGGAGSATGAAGTAAAGCTGRGGCAGTTTACCAGACACACAATTACAATSACCAGAAAGACGACCATGGCTATGCTGACTGCAAGAMCCAAACAGCGTTATTTGTAGCTTGCTGTAGTTAWAAACAAAGCCACTTTTATCAACAACAATCCCTGCTGTTTGTGGAATATTTTTGAGGTCACGGTATTTGCTCGATACCCGCCAAACCACCTGTTGAATATAAGTATCAAAAACTGGAACTTAAAATGTGGTTTTACTTGCCACTTAAGAACGTTAGATGCACTAATGGAAGAAACAAATAGATAAACATTAAAATTTTTTTGTGAAACGTGGCAGTGCCATGAATAATGTTCAGTGTAACTTAAACAGTGATAGCTAGGACGCGGTGACAAGCCATACAGTGTAGAGGGGAAGGGGATTTGCCAAATAAATGAATGCTTCTCACACACTGCCTACCGTGCCAACTGCACGTAGAACTACATGTACTCTAATCCAAATAAGGGGGCTTCTGTCCAATCCACAAGAAACAAGACAGCCTTATGGCAAATAAAGCTTGTCATTCGGGCTTGTCGTCATGCAGAACTGAGATATCTACGTTTAAATCATTAAATAATTATTGGACTGGAAAAAATGGCTACTGTTTAATGCATAAAGATTGTGTCTTTTTTATACACAGCAAGAAATCTGTAATTGAATTATGCAATATACGATTCTAGTTTGACTACTTACGCAAGCAAGTTCTTGCAGATTACGAGGAAATACCCGTAAATCCCACTTTACCTTTTAACAGTGGACTGTCAGACCGTAATGCCTATAGATATTGCAAGACCAGTTTTCCATACTCAATTTATAAGCAGGGACATGAATGCACTTAATCCATTTTAGAGCATGTGACTATGTTACAGTGACTACCTTGTGTTATTTCACGTACGTCNGTAGTTATAAACAAAGCCACTTTTATCAACAACAATCCCTGCTGTTTGTGGAATATTTTTGAGGTCACGGTATTTGCTCGATACCCGCCAAACCACCTGTTGAATATAAGTATCAAAAACTGGAACTTAAAATGTGGTTTTACTTGCCACTTAAGGACGTTAGATGTACTAATGGAAGAAACAAATAGATAAATGTTATAATTTTTGTGTGAAACGTGGCATAATGTTCAGTATAACTTAAACAGTGATAGCTCAGTAGGACGCGGTGAAAAGCCATACAGTGTAGAGGGGAAGGGGATTTGCCAAATAAATGAATGCTTCTCACACACTGCCTACCGTGACAACTGCACGTAGAACTCTACTCTAATGCAAATAAGGAGACTTCTGTCCAATCCACAAGAAACAAGACGGCCTTATGGCAAATGAAACTTGTCATTCGGGCTTGTCGTCATGCAGAACTGAGATATCTACGTTTAAATCATTAAGCTATCTGGGGACAGTTGTTTTTAGTACCGACCATTACGAAAGAAACGCATCGAAATGCAGTTTATTTTGCTTGATCCGGGCAATATTTTGTCAAATGAAGGATAAAAGACCAAAATATTTTATATAAAGATTTCATGAAAATCGAGCATAATTTATTCAAGTTATGGGRAAATCCTGGAAAACACTTAAACTTGAATATTGCGCAAACCAGCCCTATTTTCTCTAAAATATTTCTGAACCTTGTTATTAGTGGTATTACAAATGTGTGTGAAAATTTTAGACGAATTATGTCGAGCGCAACTTAAAATATGATCTCGTATACACGGAGCAGGCCTTTTCAAAGAAAAAACTCAAGCTCAAAGTTAAAAATTGTTATGTCGACTTCTATTGCATGTAGATCATTCGATTTCTTCGCTAGTGGACTTTGTTCCTATTCCTACATTCATACTTAGTTTGGGCGCTGTTCGTCAATTCGTTGCTGAGGCAGAGCCAGAATACTTAAAGTGTAGTTTTAGTGCTAGTCTGCCCATCTGACTGATACGAATGTCGAACGTCGTATCTCAAAAATCTGTCCAAAGAATCTTTTTAAATTTCTTGAGCATGAAGCCGAATCCCCTCTTTATGTTTTTCGTTTGGTCTTTTTCCAATTGAAACGTTTGGACGGACGTAGTAAAATTATCAAAAATGTTAATTTTGTGCTTGCTATTTCGCCGGATGATTGTACATTATGCCGAAAGCCTTTGTTGACATTCTTCATTGTTTTATAGAAGAATAGTGAGATTAAGAGATTTGCAAAAACTAGTGGCTTCCTTTAAAAGTAAACATTATCACAGTCATATCGATATTTCCCATTTCTTTAATTTCATTCATAGTTATTTAGTGAAATATTAGTTGATAATTGTAAGAAGAAAAAAGACACCGTTGTATTAATTTTTGCCACAATATAGCGCAGTATAAAAATGAAAACTAAGTTACGCCTATCTAATTTGCAGCATTCATACTGAATTATATTATCATTGTGTCAAAGCGTGACGATAGGTACGAAATATGTTTGAACAAATATTGAGCATAGACGATGGAATTGCCAAAAAAGTCATTAAATGAAAACAACTCAAATAAAAGTTTCCTCTAGTCCATTATTCATTTAGAACAGACTGCGTGACAA